ACCAACTCCGACTAGCAGTGGGCGATGGGTCGCAGGAGTTAGGAACTTACTCGTTATCAAGGATTTTGTTCCGATTGGTAGGCTAGGGTGATATTGGATTGTTATTGGCTTTATAACGCATTAACCAAGTATGTTATACGGTTTCGATTTCCAAGGAAATCGTACGGGCTTGTTTTTCTAGGTAATCTCATTTGAAAAGCGCTTCCGATTATACAAGATAATACTATTAATTGCATTTTGCACTCGAATGGCGGGCATTGACCATTCGTTTTCTCTAAAGCGCATTTTGAGTCCCGTTTTTTGGCATTTAGATTAAGTTTAAAGTATTCGTAGAAGAGTTGAGTTTATTAAAAATACGTGTATTTGCCTATCAAATTGTACATCGTCTTATGTGGTATTTATTAAACGATATTGTAAAATGTACTTCTAGCTATATGGTATCCTGTTAAAGAGCTGTTCCAAATGTTCCGATTTGTATTTGTTTGCTAAACTGTTTAACGCTGCATGTTTTCTAAATGTTTTAACGCTATCATGTTGATGATATTTGGTGCCAACTGTTGTGAGCACTTCAAGTTCGCGAATAAAGTTGTAAAATATTCAGAGCAAAATGGGTCCTTGAAGGTTTGGCAACATATGGGGACAAAGTTCTTGATTTAACAACCACGAGAACTATTCTATGAACCAGCCTGAAACTCGATTTCGCTGATCTCGGGCTCAGATATGTAGTCGGCGGATTTGTTCTTAACCTTGTGCATGGTCGTCACGTGACGTTGGACAGCACTGCGGTCGTTGAACTGACGCCCACACTGCTTGCAGGAGAACATGACGCCAGCGTGGGTGACCAGGTGGCGGCTGAGACCAGAAACGTGGTTAAAGCTGCGCTGGCACAGGTGGCACTTATGCGTACGCGAGTTGCCCATGTGCACGCGACTAATGTGCTGCTGCAGATTGGACTTCTGGGCGAAGCAACTCGAGCATTGGGGGCATTGGTGGCGCTTGGCTCCCGTGTGGGTGTCCATGTGACGCTTGAGCACTTCGCGCTGGGAGAAGGACAGTTCGCACTCGGTGCACTTGAAGGGTTTCAAGCCCGTATGGATGATCATGTGGCGCTTGAGGGAGCTGGCGCAGGAAAGCTGCAGCGAGCAGCTAGGACACTTCAGCGTACCGCCTTTGCCGCTCTTCAGGCCCTTGATGTGGATGTTGTGATGCCGCGTCAGCAGTTTCTGCGTGGCAAAGGCCACTGGGCACAAATGGCACTGGAACGACTTCACTGTGTCCGTTACCCGCCCGGTTTTTGGTTGGGGGCAAATGGAGGACTGCTTGAACACCAACTCACTCGATCTTTTTCGTTTGACGGGCGTCTGCTCATCACTTTTCAGGGGCTCCTTTTCCTGAAATTTCGTAGACTGCTGTTATAATTAAGTTAAATAAATTATAAGTCCATTACTTACAACAATGATGACATTCTCGTCGAAATTAAATACTTGTTGCTCTTCAGACATCTCTTCGCCCAGATTAAACACAACCACGTCCTCGATTTCCTCCGATTTCTCGCCACTGAACTGAATCTCTCCATCTTCCTTGACTAAGAAAAGTGTCCAAATTAAAACTGTGTTCATACTTTTAAATAAGATTTCCACTCACTGTTGTAGGAGGTAATTTCGTTGTCTTGATCAAATTCAGGCGGGGAGTCCTGCTTCTGATCCTCCGCATTAATAATGTAGATCTCGCCGTCCTCGGTGTGCACCACATCCCCTGACCCGACCATTTTGATGTCCCTGAAGTCCTCCCCGTCCTCCGTGGGCACTTCTTCCTCCAGTTCGAGGGCGTCCAGATTAACTTCGTTAGCACCTAAGGAGTTCGAGTTCGACTCCAGTATGAATTCTTCGTCCTTTTCCGTCTTCATGGGCAGTTGCACCTCTGGCTTGCTGGGTGAGTTAAGGCGTCGTTTGGGAGGTAACTTCAGCTTCTGTCTAGACGAGGAGGAGTCCTCCTTAGTTTGTGCCTTTGGATCCGGCTCTGAGCCATCCAAATGCTCCCACTGACCGGCTCGCTTTTCGGTGAGGTACACTTCCAGTTCGCCCAGAAGCATGGCCAGCTGCTCCTTTCGCATGTCTTCACTAACCTCGTGGCGCAGCTCATCCCTCACCTGGTTGCGCACCTCCTCGGCCAGTTCCTCGCGCACTTGACTGCGCACCTCCTCGGCGAGTCCTTTGCGCAGCTCGATGGTCAATTTGGCTCGGAGTTCCAGGCGGGATTTGACCAGCCGCTTGTTGAACTCCGTCGCCTGCTCCTCCTTGAAAGCCTCGCGCCACTTTTCGTCCTCCAGCTTGCGCACCTTGTCCTGCGCCTCGATGAAGGCGATGGAGTCCTCGAATTCCAGCTCATCCTCGTCGTAGTCGTCCGGATCCTTAGAGAAGGCCCGACTTCGTTTGCCCAGGCCCAGGAGGCGGATGTGCTTGCGCAGCTTCTTCTCCGCCCACTGGCAGCGCTGGCGGAAAAGGAAGGACTTCTCCAGCTGGTAGCGGCACTCCTGGCAGATCCTCTTCGGCAGGCTGTCCGTCGCCTTGGCGTCCAGGGCGACGCAGGCCATCAAGCGCACGGGAATCGAGAGCTGGGTGTCGTCCTCCTCGAAGATCGCGTACGCATCCTGGTGCTCCTTGAGGCACAGGCGGCACAGGGTCGCCAAGTCGGGATACGACGGCGGCGCGTCCATGGAGTCACTTATTTTGTGCTAAATCAACGTTTTATTTACACGGCGGCGTCTCTCGCATAGCAAAATAAAAAGCAAAAAAATAATGTGACCGCAGGCAGGGCGGGAAGAAATACCTACATTTGGGGCAACATCAATCCAACACTGCCTTACTTTTTTAAAATTTAAAATTTGTTAACCTTCATTTATAATTTGTTCACCTTCACTTTAAAAGGATTTATCAATATTAAAGCTAACAAAATGTCGCAGTTATGTATATATATATTTTGTTTTCGTTGTATATTCTTAAAAGCATATTGATTTGTTTCCCCAAAAATCATTTTTAGGTTATCAATACAAATTCCAATATACAATTTCATTATAAAGCACGTTTCCATTTTTAACGAAGAAATTAACGATTTGCTACTCTATATCTCCATTCTTTTGATGTAATTATACCCAAACCATCTACATTTCAAATATTAAAATGTAAATACATGTTAATACGATTTTACATTCGACTCAATTAAAAACAATAATCTGTTGTAACATTATTTTAATTATATTATGAATATGCTTACTTTACTACTTAGACTGTATGCAGACATCAAGAATGCTAGGACAAAGAATATCATCAAATTATATTCGGCAAGAAACATACATTGTGCACAAAAAAAATCCTTTTAAGGAGAGGCACTTTACAAAGTACATGCTTACATTTTGTAAGTTCGTTGTTAAAACGATAGTCTACGATACTGAGCTATTCAGTTTATCCGCTCCTCTGAGACGGCAGCGCACACAGTTGCTGGGTTCGTAGTTACTGGTGTGGGAGTACCGCCTCGATAAGGACCCGTGCTTCCGGCAGAGTCTGTCCTGCTTCTTCTTCGGGCTTTGGAAGCGCACCTTCTTGCGAGAAGGCTCGTGTTTTTTTACATCCTTCATGGGGGATCTTTTATTACTCAGAAAGGCGTCCCTGTTGAACTCCTCCCGCAAATGACTTAGCTGCGGGTCGTTCATGTTGATCTCGACCATGGGAACGGCGACTGTAGAAGTGGCAGCTGGCTGGTTGCTGGGCTCTGGCTCGTCGTCTGTAAATTAGTGTTCCGTACAATATCTGATTTCGGGTAAATAAGGCATATGTAAATCTTACCCAGTAGCTCCACCACGCTACCATCGTTGGATTCCTCTGGCTCCTCGCCGGCCACTGTTTCGTAAAAGCCATCGGACTGGCCTGAAGCCAGCTGAGTGTTCGAGCTAATCCTCATATCGGATCCAGACGCCAAGCTCTCAGAACAATGGACCTGCTCGCCAGCAGTCTCGTTGCGCTTGCGCACAAAGTAGCTTTCCAGCTCGTAGAACAAGTCGTCCAGGACGCTCAGCCGCAGCTGCTGCTTGGCCTCGGCCAGGATGACCTTCTCTAGTTCCGCCCGGAGCTCCAGTTCGATGTCGGCCCGCACAGCCTGCTTGCAGGTGGCGAGAAGATCCTTTTTGTATGCATCCATCTCGGCGCGAATGAGCTGTGCAGCCTGCAGGCGCCACTGGGCGTTGTTTTCAGAACAGGCCGTGGCATTGCATCCCACCACATCCTGCAGGGCATCCAGTTCCTCCGCTATCTCCCCCAGATTTGATTTGACCCCCTGCCGCAGCAACGCCTTGTGGCGCCTTAAACGCCGGTCGGCCGCCTGGCAGCGACGACGGAAGCAGTGCATCTCCTCCAAGCGGAGACGACAGGGAGTACATATGTGCTGCGGCAGACCGTCACCGGGCTCGATGTCCAGCGATGTGCAGGACATAATCCTCAAAGCAGCCGTGCCACTCCCAAAAACAGGAAAGTTGGCGTCCTTTGAGAGGCACAGGCGGCAAACATTCATTATTGATTCGCAGGATATCCGGGGAAGACAACGGGACACCTGAAGTGGGGTTCAGGCAAGTTTGACACAACTAATATTAAAGGTGGCTTGCTAGAAAGTCAAAATTAAAAACAAACATAAAATTTGAAAAACAACAAGAAATAAAATTAGGGATGGATCAAACACAAGCGGACTTATCGATTTATTTTTCGATCGATTTTTTGCAAGCGTATGGGCAAAGCATCGCAGGTTGGCAGCTCTTCCGGCAATGTGACCGTTTTCCTGCAGCCAAATGGCGGGTAAAATATAAAATTTTGAAAGAAAGATGTTAACTGTCAATTCACCACATATACCCTCAAGATATCTTCAAAAGATAAGTGCCACGAAAAATAGTTCTAACTACCGAGTACCAATAAATACACTGCTTCATTTATCAAACAATTTCATTATATTTCATTAAATATTAAGTATAAATACGCAGTTAACTATTAAGTATTATATACACAATTACAATAAAGTATTCAGTCACTATAATGCTTCTTCTATATACAAAGTACGATATATTTATATCCAATGGCTTGAACTCGCCGCCGCACCTTAATAAATTATGCAATTCAATTCCATTATAATATACAGTAACAGTCGTCTGTGTTCTTCGGGAGTTTGTCGATTGAAAGAAAGTTGTGGGTTTCTTTACTCATTTTAGGATCTGCGCCGAGGATTGCCTACTTATAGCTAAAATGTTTGCAAAAACAATAAGTCAAGGACATTTAACAATGTTTTCGTTTTCGTTTTGATTTCTTTTTTTCGTTTGCTCTTTGCTTTATCGCTTGGGTGGGGTGTTTTTTGTTGTTTGTGGTAAATAAATAGTATCGATCGATCATTAACGATATTCAACATTGAAATACATCAATCATTAGGCATATACATAACTACAGGATATAATACAATACAGGATCGTGGGGCTCGGGATCAGGATCGGGATCCAGGTTGTGTGCTCAATCGTGGCGCCAGCTTTGCGGTAGCACGTAATCCTTGACCTTGTAGAGGGCATTGGCGTACCAATGGATGCCATTCTGCTGCTCCGCCTGGGTGACGACCTTCGGCGAACTGCGCAACTGATCCTTGGCGGGCAGCCACGCCTCCACCGTGGACAGGAGGCGCATGGGAGCGAGACCCCAGTGGGCCAGCGACTGGCTGTTGATCACCGCATAGCAACTGGCGGCCACCGAGTTGACCACAATGGTGCCCTCGCGGGTCAGGGGCGCCACCACGCCCTTACTCCGGACACTGCCCACCCGAATGACGCGCTGGGGCCTCAGTTCGCCCGTCTTCGCATCCCGGACGAGCACCTGGTTCTGCTCCACGACGCGATCGGCGAAGACAAAGGTTAGATCCTGATGTTCCGGCTGCCAAACGCTCACCAGATGAGCGGGCGTGACGGTCAGCACCGCCCCACCGTCCGTGTGCAGCACCACGAAGTTCTGCATCTGCTCCAGGTTGCGGTCCATGAAGAGGATCACCTCGCTGAAGAGTGCCTGTCCGTTGGCGGCCATGCTCAGGACTCGGTCTCCGATGGAGAGCTCGCCGAGCGGCTTCTGGACTCCACTCTCCAGCAGCGCCGTGCTCTCCGGGGTGAAGCAGCCGTGCACGTGGGAACTGATTGAGGAATCTGTAAGTAGAAAATGTTGTGGTTAGAAAGTTTGTTTCGAAGTTAAGGCTTTGGAATTGGTATTTTCTAAAAGTAAGAGGGGATGAGCCCTGCTTATTATTAATATAGTTTAGAACATTAAATCTATCTTCCAGATGTTGTGATTTTAATTTGAGAAGTCCTTAAAAAGTAATCATTTTTGAATTCCTTAAAACGTTGATGATATCTGTTTTTAGGGGTGCTACTTTATTTAATAGTAAAGAAAAAATATAGATTTTGATTTAATTCGACCTTTAGAAAAGTTGAGCTATGAAAAGAAGTACAACCCAAGCTATTTTTATTAAATTATAAATTGTGTAATAATGTTTAAGGAAGCCCTTTTAAGAACTACACAATCTGGAATCAAATCCTGTGTTTCTGATCTGTAGATTGCTAGTAGTGTGCCCTCAGTTCAGGCCGCCCAGGTAATGGCATTAGTTTGCTAATCTAATTTGGCGTTAAGCATCCAATTGCCAAGCCCAACAAGTCAAAAAGGTTTTCACAGATCCGGGGCTGGCCCGTTGCAGCCCAATGTGAAACAATGGGCCCGAAAGGACTGAAAGGACTGCCTTTTGCGGTTCGCCAACAAGCCATGAACATAATGCGATCGAGGAACAGAGATCGGAGATCGGAGATCCGAGATCAGCAATCTGCGATCTGCCAGGCATATCAATAACAAGCGGCCGACGTGTTTTTGTTTCGGCTTGCACAAAAATTGTGATCTTGTTTTCCCTGCAAGATTAGCCGTGGGATCAGCCTCAACCCAAGCCGAACTCGAGCCAAAGCGGCTTAGGAATCCCAGGGAGGTGAGCTGCCAAAAAAAAAATAGGAACAGAAAAAAAAAAAGAAAAAAGGGGATGGGCCAGGTAGCAGTTCGTGGTTTGTTTTCCCAACCTTTTTGGCAACCTGTTGGCAATTACCGAACATGCTGCAACCCACCTAAACAATAATCGAAGCGCAGGCCACATTAATCATCATTAATGGGTATCGAGTTGCCCTGGCAAGGGCCCACCCAGATGGATCTGGCCAAGATCAGGGGGATGCACTTTGTAGAACTTTCTCTGTAGCCGGGGGCCTTCACACCCGAAGCGCCGCCGCTGCTGTCGAGGCTTGTAAAATTCAAATTAAAAATTCCAGACCAAAGGCGACCACTAACCGCGCGCGCTTTATTATAATGAGTGGCCATAAAGTGGCCTTGTTGCGGCTGCCACTGCCGCTGGAATGGAATTCCAAAGAAAATGCACCTTCCCAGTGGCCCAACCGAAATTCCCATTGATGCATTTCGGTAAACACAGACGGGCGGACACACAAAAGTGTAGAAACAATAAAAATCGGATTAAATACATATGGTCGAGGTCTATAAAACCCATAATCGATGGGGAGGGCAGCGGAATCGGAATCGGGCCCAAATAAGAAGAACAGACTGGATAAAAAAAGGGGAGTGTGAGAGGAAGCGCGGTGGTAACAAGAAAAATTGGTGTGAAATCTACCTTCTACCAAAAGCAGGCAGAGAAACAGAAACGGAGACCAGAAATAAAAGTAAAGAAAAAAAGACGAGGGACAAGAAAAATCTCAGGCCTGGTCGTCTTCTTCGTCGGCGGTGAGTGGAAAGTGAAGAACTTGAAGGGTCATAAATTAATAAACCATTAAAGTGGTTAAAATTATCGTTATTTTATCTTTGTTGTGAAGACTAAACTGATAAATTATTACAAAACAGAGGACAGCCGCTTGTGGCTGTTGTTGTTGTTGGCTTGGTGACTGATCGTTTGGACAGCATTAACATGAGCATGCAACAACAACACGCGCTTGGGGGCTTTAATGCGCGCGCGCGACACACCAGCAACAGCAACAACAAAAGACAGCAGCAACATTGGTAAGAGGGGGAAAAAAAAGAAAAAAAATTAGTGTCGACAAAAAGGTTTACAGCCATTACTCTTCGTCGTCGTGTTGTTGCTTTTGCTGTGGCCTTTGCTTTGGCTGCTGCTGTTTAGGCCCCAAACGAAAGACTTAGGCAGCGAACTCTAGGCGCAGCGAATGCTGTGCCAAAACTGTCATAAGCCCGTGGTTTATGTGCAGCGGCCTATCAGCAATCAATCGCCCCGTAATTTATTGATAGCCAGCAGCATGCAACACACAAACACATGGCTGGGACCACACACATGTGGCAGGATGGGCATAGGTTTAGAAATAAGATGACCTGCTTGCCACTTGTTCGTCGGCTGACCTTTTGATATTCCCTAAAAAAAGAGAGGAGGATGACAGCAGGATCCTGGCTCGCAGACCGGCGGCGGCTCCTTTCATAAGCAATTAGAATCAATGAGCAAGGACACTCGGCTCGGTTTCCCTTGCTTCGTCCTTTGTAATCTTTATGGGCCGCCACCAAAAGTCACAATATTGTGACTCGACTGCGTGTGTGGGAAAGAGGCGTGGCATCATCTTGTAATTGTAGATGGAAATTAAATGAACAACTGACAGCCAGTCGCGCCCAAAGTGTCTGTCTGCTTGTGTGTGGGAAACTTGAAAGGGAAAATCCCTCCAAAGCCGCCAAAGAAATGCAAAAAAAAAATATATACGTATATGTATAAAAGACAACCCAAAGAGAGAGAGCAAATCTCTGGGCAAGAAAACTTAATTGTCTTGGCCCGTTTTGGTTGGCTGATCGAGGCAAAAGCATTTTCTTCTCGGTCTTTGGGGCAGTTTCGTTATGTTTCGGGGAAAACTGGTTGCTGGCCATAATGGCAGCTCACAGATACACACTTGGAACGGCCTGGACCGTCTTAACTGATGATGCTAACTTGCTGGCCGGCCGTTTGGTTTCAGTGTTTTTTTCAATTAGGCCCGCGCTCAGGTTTTAGCCCCGGCATTTAATTCATCTTTGCCTGTTTGCCAGTTTGGCTGTTGGCTGTTGCCTGCCTGCCCGTTTGCCAGCTCCTCTGTCTTGGCCAGTTTGCGCTGCCTGAGAAACGCTTTGGGTGTCGTATCATCAATTCGTTTAATTTGACAGGCGCAAACCTAAACATGTCAAAACAACAGCCATGCGGTTAGTAGTGGTGGTTGCCGCCTCTGGAGCCGAGTTTCGGGTCCAGTCAGGTCCAGTCAGGTCCCCAGCAGACCATCCATGGTCCGGTTTTCGGACTTTGTTGCTTTGTCGTTTCCCCTTTTCGATCTTGCCATCTCTGAGATCTCGGGGATCTTGCGATCTTGCAGCCGTGGCCAATTTGGCGGATGCGATGTGCAGGGCGAGCGGCTGAAATTTGCCAACGCCTGTCAGCTTAGCGATCGCCAGTACGAAACATGCGAAATTACGCTTGTTAGTGTCACTTCTGGCTAACCGACCAGGCCCACCCATCACCCGGCACCTCACTCATTACTTCCTACAGATGAACTAACTTGAAACTGCCTCTAAGGTCTCTTAGGAAATGAATTATAGATTTATATATTTATCATATATAAATTAAGGAGAATACATATGAGAAATCATATCCTATTTCTAATTAACTAATAATCTAGTCATGGTGTTATAAAAAAATTTTTAACATGGCAAGGATTGTGAAACAATGAAGTCTAAAAATGTTTATCATTATAATCCCACGTGTACCTATTAAATTCTATTATAATGATTTAATGCTTTCCTAGCACGAACAAATTAAAATTTCGTCAAAAAGTTTACAAAAACTATATTATTTTTATAAACTAACAAACATATGAAAAAGCAATCAGAATAATTGCATACCTAATGATGGATTTTATAACACTTTTAAGCCCCCCTTACTATTTCATTTACACATATTTGTAAAAAATTTTAATTGATAAACTGTGACTCAACCTAAGCAAAACCACAAAACCGGAAATGTATTCACTTTGAAATATGACCAAATCATTAGGCGCCCCTTGCCGCGATTAAGTAAATTATGTGGACAATTACCTGACTTGACGGAGCAGTAGATGTGGCGCCGGCTGACGTAGGAGACCCAGTCGAATCCGGCCTCGACGGCCAGGCGGGCCAGCATGCCGTACTTGGACTGGTCGCGATCGGAGGTGGCGATGGTTACCGCGCGGCCCTCGTAGTGGAGCGACTCCTGGCCATGCTGGTAGTCCTCGTCCCAGCTCTCGGTGACCAGCAGGCGGATGCCGGGCCACTCGTTCATCACCGAGTAGGCCAGCACGTTCAGCTTCTCCTTGCAGCGCTGAAAAGGGCAGAAGGCAGGGGAGATCGATTAGGTATTGTTAATAGCCAGACGCCATGTTTAATTCACGCAGCACGCACGGGCAAGCGAGATGGATATAGTGCTGCCGAGGGGCGTGGCATGCGGGCGTTCATTCCGGTGGCCCAAAGGGCCCAACGCGTTCATTTTCGCCGATCTCCAATCGAGACGGAGGCCTACACTCGGAAAACTTGGGAACTTTAAAATATTAAAAAACAAATGTTTAAAAAAAATAGGTAAAACTTATTTATTATTCGACTTGTCTTTGTTCGAACAACAATATTATTTGATATTTTATAGTTCCTAAGTTTTTGATTTTTACAGTTCTCACGTTTTTGAAAAAAAGAGATACAAATCTTGTAATTTATATTTTTGTATCTCTTTTCTGAAATCTATTTGCTTTTATTAATTTATAGAATTAAAAAAAAAAAAATTATTGAATTTTAAAGAATCTTAAATTAAGATAATGTTAATATTATAATATTTCCCAATATTATAAAATATGTTTAGCACTAAAAAATAATTGAAATATTATATATTTTTTTTTTCAAAAAAGCAATTTTCCTTGTAATTTTCCCCTTCAGCGTATTTATAATCAAAACCAAAAATAACCAAATATAGGATTCGAATTTCTCCCAGTGCATCTACCTTTCATGCTCTGTGAGTCTGCCCTTTTTGGCCGCATCCTTTGAACCTGTTGCTGCAACCTCAACAAACAGGCGATCATGTTTGCCCAGTTCCCTTTTGGCCAAAGGCTTATTTGCCCATGCTTACGCGCAGTTCAAACACTGACCCTCCATGGTGACCCTAACCCACCTAACCCACGCTCGAAGATATACCTTTTATTTTCTCCCTTTTCACTCTTTGTTTTTCCTGTCGATAATATGAAAATGCTTACGCTTTGTTTGCCAATGTGGTGGGTGCTCATCCGTTTGTCGGCTCGTTTTCATTTGATTTTTTAGTGGAGAGAGAAGCAGAGAAATGCCAGCCAAGCAGAAAAGGATTCGAATAGGTCTATGCAAATATTTGAGAACCAAAAACTGAGAACTCACAAAAAGAAACAAATCACAACGCGAAACTAAGAAGGCAACAGAGTATCTTTAAGATTGAGCCAGCCACAAAATCAATTATCAACGGACAGAGCCCGGGTGACAGGATGTTGCCTTTGTGGGCAAACAGAATTCGAGCCGTAAAATCAATTTGCGACACAGAGATCCTTTTCTCATTCTTATTTTTAGGACAAACCACAGCCGATCAGTTTGTGCCTTTTTGGGCTTATGTTTTGATGAGGTGTGGATCTGTAGCGGTCTGTGTTTGCTATTATTTGGCCAAAAACAGAGCTGCCAAATTTGTCACACAGCTTCGCAGCAGCCGCAACTGTGGCAAATTGAGGTGGCAGGCCGCATTCCGGGAAGAGTTCAATGATATTTGTTTGCTCCGATGCTGCAGCTTTGCTTTATTAAAAGGCTTAACCAGTTAAGAGTCGAGAGTTGGATGTTGGAAGTCTGGAAAGGCGAGAGCCAAGCTGTGCTAATGAGCACAAAAGCGTAACGACAAACAGGCGATGGATGGATATATCCATATGGCTATGGGGTATGGGTTATGGTTGGGGGAAAGACAAACGCTTTTGTCTTAAGCACTGCCAACGATGTTTACCCAACATGCTAATGCATTGAGCTCGAGCTCGAATTCGAATCGATGCGCTGGACGCGCAATGAACAAACAACGGCCGTCTCAGATCTTCGATCTGGGATCTTGAAACTGGGATCTCACCCATCCCATATACCATATCCCATCTTCCATATATACGAACTCCCAGCGATTCCAGCAAGTTCGTTTGCCGACGGGTGCGTAAGGTAAACATTACGGATACACGGCGTCGGCGGCCCAAAAAGATGGCTAAATAATGTGTGTGCCTTGTAAGTGGCCGTTAGACAACAGCGTCAAGTGTAAATAAGCCCGTGCCCTGGGATCGGAAAATCCCTATAGCCTATAGCCCATACCCATATGTATATACCCTCTCTTCCCCCATGGAAAGCTGCATTAATTAGACATTCAACAAGGTGTGAACTTTGCATTTACCTTTGCCCAGCCATTACCCCGAAAAGGGGAAAATCAGAAATGAGAAAATCAGAAAATCAGAAATCTTAAATCCAACCACGCCCCATTGTGTGTTTACATGGGACCTAGCTGCATTCGATTTCCTACAGCTTTTCAGCTCGATTTTGGCTATTTCGGTGTGTTTTTTATAACCCTCTGATGCGTTTTTAATGGCCGCGACTGCAGTTTTATTGATTTAAATTGTCTGGCTGGCTGCCAATTTGACGCTTTTAATGGCCGAGCGAAATTATTATGGCACGAAGATTATTAGGCACTCATCATCATTAGGCCGCGGCCAAGACAAGACGAGTTGGCCTGGTCGGGTTTGGCTTAATAGCCCGTTTCTCGGCCCGGCGACAAGTTCGGGGGCTTTGTTTGTTTTGACCATCCCATGCCATAGCCTGCCATACCATCTTGTTCCTGAGCTTTTTTGCGAGGGTCTCGGTCTCGGATTACTGGGTACCCCAGGGAAACCGACGATTAGGAAACGACACAATTTAACGACATAATTCAAGTGCGCATTAAGTTACGGCTGCCAGGGGAGTCACCCCTTTTTTTTATATACCGATGCACGTGCTCTATGGTGTAAGCAGATATGGCATATCCTTTGATTCCCGGCACTGATTGCGATCGCAGAGGAAGCGAAAACTTACAACTGAGGAAGCGACACAGGATATAGTCAAGTAAAAAAACGGAGAACAAGGAGAAACTCTGAAGAAATCACGTCACCCACCCGATATAATATATACACACACTATATACGATATGTGTGTCAACGGGGGCTGAGGTGGGCCACTTGAGGGGCCGCCACTTAGGTGGCAACTTTGGGTTTCACGGGTTCTGGAGTCTGCTATCTATGGAATCTAGATTCCAGAATCCCTCGCATCAGTCAGCATCTGCCTTTTGCCGCCCTGTGTGGCCCACTCGAGAGCTCACACAGATTTCCTCACTTAATTGGCAAACTGTTATGGATCCTCTGATTGATTCAAGAGCAATGCCAATCCGCAGCTCCATCACTCTGTTTATTTGTGTTGCCAATCTATTCACAGCTCACAGTTCTCTTCATTAGAATTAGCGGCGGTCTTTGATTGTTTACGATGCGCTGGCAGCGCAATTATTACAGCGCAAAAATCAAATATCGAAAAAATAAGGGACGTCTGAAGTTTTAATTAATTGGAAACGGTTCCGGGGGGAATGAGACTATGTTTACGGAATCTCTGGGTCTCCGAAGTCTGCTCCTGTCTGTTTGTTTTCGCTTTTTGTTTCCCTTATAAATGGCAGGGCATTAAAAAGTGGAAACCTTTATTGGATTAATGGGGGATTAAGAGTTCTGTATCGCAGCTAATTGAATTTTTGCCACTTACTGCGAAGTTATAAGAAGCAAGCAGAAGTCAAATGCAATTAATCTTAAATCATAATAATATTTTTTCAATTTTCCCCTCCAAAAATGTAAATGCAAATTTTCCATTTACTAGATCTTTGGCCCCCAACTAAACGAATCCCCCCCAAACGCATTACAAATGCTCGTAAATCTCGCGTCGAATAAATGTCCATAAAAGGAAGGCGTCATTTTATTGTTATTAATTAAATGCTATTAATTTGCAGAAATCGTAAATTAAATCTCAGCTGTGGCCTATTGCCCTGCCTCACCTGCCTGGGGTCTGCCTGCCACATTTAATGTCCCCCGGCGATCAGCAAAAGTCATTTGGCGGCGAGGAGAGGAGTCGAGGAGTCGAGTAGTCTCAGCCAGGTAAGAGCCGTGGATTCGGGCAGGGTCTTAAATGATAAGCGCCATAATCCCTGATGTGTGATTAACTTTGATGATGAGTTATGAGCCGCACATTGGCACTGATGGGGCTGGAGAGGATGGGGATAGGGGATGGGGGATGGGGATCCCAGTTCCAAGTTCCAATGACTTGCAGGAATCGAGAGGAACCATGTGAAATGTGAGTCACTCGCCCAGCAGTAATGTGATAGCCGCGACGCGATCTCTGATCGCGATCTTCTCCCCCGAGCAAGTTCATAAAAGTTTTATGCAAATAAAGCAAAAGCCACAAATATCGATGGCATTTTGGGCCAGCAAATCCTTGAACATTCGCGCTTGAGTGCCCTCGTAAAAGTATCAAATTGATTAATAATAATATAAAAGCATCTCATCTCGGACAAAAGCAAAACAAACAGTGCGAATGCGGATCGAGCAGGGACATTCGGCCTTATATGGCCACTATAGATGGGGACTTTTCGAAGACGATTTGTCCACTTTGCCTGACTGATGTTTGTTTGATAAGTTTGATTACTTTGTTGGCCCCCAGGAATGTTCCCACGAAATGGTCTGATGTTTTGCTTATCGCAGCATTTGACGTGATTTGATTTGAGTTTTTGGCAAAGTTGCCTTTGAAACTGAAGCTCTGACATCATCCCACCCAACGTTTTATCTTATACTTTCTGTTTCTCTTCTCTTTTTGTCATAATAGGATCAATTTTGAGTCATAATGCTCTATTAAAATGCCTGGGCTGAGGGCTTACTTTGATTTGATTTGAGTGGAGTTGATTTGATGGTGATGTTGATTCTGATTTTTGATTTTGATGTGCATGTCTGGAAGAGTAGAGGGTGAGGATTGGAGACCGAAGACAGAGACTGCTGCATGCATGTCAATAATCATATCGGATTACCCAATGGCTTTGCCCTCAGCCCCATTGTTGCTACAATTTATGAAATTTTAGAACTTATGCTGCGGCTTTTGACGCATTCTTTTGTCCATCGTCCACATCCATCTGTCCGCTGCGGTTTCTGCTGCTTGTCTAATCCCGTGGCATTCGAGATACACTTCAGATACTTCGGTTGGGTTCTGAAAAGGCGTGTTCCCTAGACACATTTGCCTGTAATTACCTGAGGCAATGACTTGTCATAAGCTCCGGCATTTTACGAGGCTTCGCTTCGGTTTAGCCACCGTATGCCAATTGCTGAAATTTTCGCAATTTGTTTATGCAACAACTGGAAAACTGAAAAAACAGACACCCAGGGCCACACAGTTAGCAGTCCGTTTTGTGAGCGTTTTAAATGGCCAAAACGAATTGTTTACCAGCCGAAATTCACGCACAGCGGCCAGTAAGTCACTCGGACTGATAGCCAAATCCAAATCCACATAAAATACGATTTAGTTGCGCTCTGTAGGTCCTCGAATCCCAATTCTCAATGTCACTGGAATTGCAACTTCGGTAGCGGAACAGTTGCCGTTGTAAATATTTGCCCCGTGAACTACAGAAATTTTATGTACCCCGAGTGTCCTTGGCCATTTAGTCAACTGCCCGAAGGACCTTGGCCTTCGGTGTCACTTCGAATTTGCTGCCGTGCGAGCAACTGTTAATTGTTCGCCAGTTTCTGTTTCTGTTTCGGTTTCTGGAAAGGCTGCAATACCTTTTGATTGCATATCAAATTCAAGGTAACATCTGAAATCGCTGCCACCATTTAAAGTCACCCGATGGGCACGTGGCAGTTGCAAAAGGCAATTTGGGAAAGTTTTCGAGTGAAACTCTAGCCGTCGAACAACTGTTTTGTTCTATGGATCATCAGGTACAGTAAACCCGTATCTTAAAGATCTATTACTTTTCTGAAAACCCCCAAAAACTGCCAGCTTATAAATCTTCATAATGAAAGTCATTATAACTCGAGTGTTATATTATAATCTTAAATCAACTGAATTACTTGCTTGGCAGCCGTAATCTGTCTTGTCATAGTTCTGATTATTGGTTTGTTATTCGTCAAGGGAACTGGAAGTCCTCCATAAAACGTTAATAGCCCCTTTATAAAGCTTATCGATAATAGGGCTATTTTTACACCTCGTCAGCACTTAAAATTTCATTAAAATAACAAAAATATACCCGATAAGCCAGCTGTGTCCATGGGAAGCGTGCCGATTATATATTATCGGCAATATCAACTTCAATGCCAGCCCTCTTAGGGGGGCTTGACTGTTGGCCAGGCTTATGGCCGTAATGCAACCACCACTTTGTCGCTGGAATTAAGCACTTGTTTTAGCTGTTTTGCACTTTGAATCCCAACCACCCCCCAACCGAGTGGTCACCCCCCTTCACTTTCACTGCCCCTGTCTCTTTTTAGGCCGATAAGATATTGCTATTCTTCGCCTTAGCTGGTGTCTTAACACACATTTTACTGCCAGCGAAGTGGCACAATTAGCCACCTATAAGTACTTGCACGGAAAATAATTTTAACATTTTTATAACATATGTATACCCATTTAATATACCTAATATAAACCAATAAATCAAATGTGTTTCAGAAATACCAAATGACTTGTCCGCTGGATCAGATAAAAAAAAGGAATAATAAAGAATAGTACTGAGATTTTTTGTATTATTCCTAGAACAGACTTGAGCTTTGAACTAGAATTTAAGATTCTTATTTAGTATAGGACCTAATATGATCTTTAAGATGACTCAGATGGTTATTATTCTCTAGAATTTATAACTCAAAAATCCCATACTCTTAGGCAATATACAAAAAATGTCCTATTAAATAATGAGTCATCATGCCAACTCAAATGTGGACTAATATTCTTTCGGTGTCAGAACATATATAACTACCAACTACACATGTTAGCAAATATAGAGTCACTATCTGGTGGATAGTACTTGTGTATTGGCGAACGTACTACTTGGCTGCAGTCCGCTTATCAGACAAACGCCGGCGATAAGCGGCAACAGCTCGCGTGCCTCGACTTTTGGGGCGTAGACAAGTGGGCGGAGGGGTGGTTTGGGTTAGGGGTAAAACCAGGTAAACACCGGGACTCGTAATCCCCCGCACTCGATACCCTGTTTGTTGTTCAGCGCGAAATCGAGAACGCATTCGCCAAGCGGTGACAATGTCGATTGAACTATTTGCGATGATGATCCGCGGATCGATTGGTCTCGAGGTTGATGAACGCATTCTTGTTTGTTTGGATTCGGAAACGCTTGGCTTGGGTGCTTTACTGCTTTATGGCTTAGTTCGTTGGAATCCAGACGCTATCTACCTTGGCTTTCGAGTATCGAGCTTCCTGTTATTTTGCACTTGCGAAATAAGTGCAGTGGTTCCGATAAGATGCATAATTAATCATTTAATGGGCAATGCTCAAAAACTTATGCGATATTTCTGCCTGGTTTTATGGCGCCATAAAGTTTTGTGAAATAGCCAACCCGTTGCCGATGATTGGGCACTTTTCCGCCACGTAGCGTTTATCAATGGGAACTGAGTGGCACAATCTCGTGCCATCGGGCGATCGCTAGATAAGGTATACCAGTGCCAGCGATTAGCGATCGCTAATTTGACAATTGAATTTGTGTTCACGGGTGGCGAAAGGCGAGTGCTGTGCGCAATAAGCACGGAATTAACCTAGTCTATCTAGAAGGGAAGTTGGTATAGCCCCTGAAAGCGGGACTTTAGCAACTTCCTTTCCATTATTTCTATTCAATTGCTATTTATACCCATATCACACTGGCCTTACTCGTATCACAATATAATTCCTATATCAGGCATTAAAGTCGAACTATTTGACCATTACAAGTAGTTTTATTTATTGCTAACTCACATGATTTCCGATTGTGTTACTCACTCTATTACTAACAGATTCTCCAATCTTCAGACAGTTGGAAATAATCAAAATCTTATATTATTGTGCACATTTTATTTCGAATGGATTGAGTTGGAAAACCCAATTTTGATTAATCACTTTAGTAGCTGACTAGCTTGTACATAATAGTTTAGTCATTTTTCTGTTAACAAGTCAGGGGAATGACATATTTTTGGTTTGTAAGAATTATGTACAAGTCATTTAATAAAAAAACCCCATATAGGCGAAACTTTCCAAATGATATATTAAAAATTGTCCTTACCTTGCTCATTAAGCGATCTGCTCCGGTGCCCTCTTCGTCGCGGAAAAGGATGTCCCGGTTGTAGTTCGGCACCAGGTCCTTGAATTTGGGCGAGTCCCGACGGATCTCGCCCTCCACAGGTCCAGAGGCACTGTTCGTGTACTCGGAGAGATTGGGAATGGTCTGCTTGAGGACCAGCGGGTACAGGTTGCGCGCCCTATGGCGACCCAGTCCTCGGCCAGGACCGCAGCTGTGGGCCGGGGTGAAGTTCATTGGCAAGACGAGCAGCAGCAGGGCCACCATCGAGGTCAGCCTGCTGAGGCAACGCTGCGTATGCGCAATGTGGCGCATCGTTTGCGCTTCTGGAGATGCGGAGATGGAGCTCGTGGTCGCTTTAGAGCTGGAACTGTGGCATTTGGCGTCCAAGGAGAGACAGGTGACACTGGCGGCACTGGCCCAGGGCACAGAGCTGGAGTTATCCATTATTTATTTTGGACTCGTTGTTTGCTGTTTCTCTTGATTGGGTTTATTTTTTTTTTTGGTTATTTAGCACTTCACTTTTGGCACACTGACACGTTTTGGCGACACGTTTGTTATCTTTGAATTTATTTATTTGTAGGTGATATTAAACCTGGCTAAATCGAAATACTGGAATCGGCGGATTAGCAGGTCCTAACTGGCGTCGTCGGTCTTAACTGTTCTCCGCTGAACTGGCAGTTAGCTCTCGGATCGGACAACCGTTGCGCTCGCACTGTGATTGACAAATGACATTTCCGAGCGGAGTATCGAGCGCGCAGAGTGTTCGAGTGCGAGTACGAGTACGGCGGCAAATACGAAAACGAATACGAATACGAGTGCGAGTACGAGGGTGCTTTCAAGAACCCTAGGCCTTTCAGCTCACGCACACCACTGCCCCGAGTTCATTCCCAGTTTCGGTAGTATGGGTATGCCACTCGACGATCGGGTCTGGTGTTCATTTTTATGCTGCCTTATCGAGGCGGAGGTGAGAGCGGGACAACCGGATGGTAGGCCATACCTACAAGACTGGTTTCCCAGTGTTGGTGGCTGGGCCTTTGGGTCTTATGTACTCGTAGCTCAACAAGCGGTGCTGGCAACAGATGTTGGATGGTATGGCTTGGTATGGTATCGTACCATTATAACCATGGTTAACAGTGTGCGCCTGTTGCCAATTGGATGTGCTGGTGTGAGTGGCCAGAAGAGCCGCATCCTCTGCTGCAATTTCTCTTAACACTTGCACTACTCGACTCTTGTGGCTTGTTAGCCGCTTCTGACCCTGCAACTCCTCCATCGCCATGTCCACATCCATCTCCTCCATCTCATTGTTCACTTTTTTCCGTTGCCTTTCTTCGTTTTGTTGTTCGTTTCGCTTTATTGCTTGTAAATTAATAATGTTCCGGTTTTTTGTGTATTGTGTGACTCCTGGGCCACCTTATATGGTATATGGTATGTGGAGTATATAGGTTCAATGCTGCTTCCGTTTGGCCATCTTTACTGAAAAGAAAATCGCGGGGAGCTACAGCTAGAATGGTCATATACACTCCGAGCTTATGTCACATAATGAGCCATTTAATATAACCTAAGGAAGTCGATAAGATATCGCCTCAGTATGTATGAATAATTAATATGCCCCTTGGGAAGTGGCGATGTTTCGATAAGATGTTCAAATTACTGGGTAATACAACGAAGGAAATTAATCTCTGTCATAAGTTCCGTTCGACGTTTTGTAAATAACCGCGAATATGTCTATATATATTGCAAGCCCGATAACGATTTTGGCAAATACAATTTGCAATTAGGTACCTTATATTTATGCACTGCAAATAACCGAGTGAGGATTGATGGCGCTTTTCTAGAGATCAATAAATTTCCAGTTTTTATCTCTGTTGACTTTTGGCCAATATAGAATTCTCCCGAACTGGGAATCTGGGTATCTGGAGTTTGTATATCTACTTTGACTTTTTCGCACATCTTGAACTTGGTTGCTTGTGGTGCCATAATATTGCTCTCGCCCCCGAGAGTCTTTTGTTTTGGGTCTTTGTCAAGACCTTTTTGCGGTTGCACTAGGGTCTATTGACACTGTCACTTGGCAAGCGCGAATCGCGGAATACGCCCGACAATGTATGCCCAAGAAATTGTCACCTTCGATCTGGGAAACACCAAGGGCGAAGGTGCACCTGCCCATGTAACGGATACCAAGGGGCCCGATCTTTTTTGGGTAACGCTCTGGAATGCAAAGCGTAGCATAATATAATTTAAGCAACAACAAAAAAAGTTAAAAAACGAAACGAAAGAGGAGAAATACAGAAGAAACACATTCAATAGCTGATCGTGGCGGCAAAAGATATAAGAGAAGGCAAAACGCCATCAACAAGATACACGGAACCAAATTAAAGATGAAGAAGCTGAAAAGGCTGGCGGAGAAAAGGGGGGAGTACGAGGTTTGGATGCTGGGGCATCTGTGTGCGAGACTCTATGTGGCTGCCACATAAATTTCAGGCTTCTTTGTGTGCGCTCCCAACTCATTACGTGCGCTGGTGTGCGTTGAGGTCTTGTGTGTCTTTGGGCATCTGTATCGGTGTGTGGGGCGGAGCTGCTTAAGGCGCTCATTTGTGAATGAACACACCGTGAACAAGGCAGATACAGATACGAAGACCATACCATACCATACCATACCACACCATCCCATACCGGGGCCCAGACAACAATCGCTCCAGCACTTAATGAGCATGAATAAATGGAATCGCAGGCCGTGGAGCAAGCGAGACGGCCAGCGGGCCTCATAATCACGATCATATAGATCGCGCTCTTTGCCGAAACCCCACAAAACCAAAGAAAAAAGAGCTAAAAACACTAAACAAATAAACTAACAAAAATACTTTCCAGGCCCTTCGAGATAAAAAGCCGCAGATTAGTTTCTGTAATTAGATTTGGTCCAGCATTGATTTATGTGAATATTAATGGGACGACAGTTATAAACCGAAATTGAATTTTAATGGCAACCTGTAATGCTGCACGGGAAAAAACTTTACTTGCATAGTTGGGTATATTTGATATTTTATTTTTAGGAAAATTGAAAAACAGGGATCGGAAATTTGCAATTGATGTTACTTCTATATATAAAGGGATGCACTGATTTTTGTATTTCCTTTTTCAATTTGGAAGTAGTTAAGCACATTGTGGGAAAGAATAAATAGAGATGGTTGAATTTCTTAATAATATTTCTAGTTTGTACACTCCTTGTAGACAAGAGTAAAAATAGTGTTATAAGTAAAAACCACTTGCAAAGGTTCACATGCATTTGAAAATATTTTGAAGGATCAGCAATAAAGGAATCAAAATTGCAAGTATTTCTGTTTTAGTATACCTTATATTTAAAAATGTTTTGATCATTTTTTAAATTCCGTTGATACCTACTTAACACTTTCAAAAATGATTTAACTTTTTTTACATTAGCTGCAGCTTAACTTTATTTTAATTATATGTTTTATAACAAATTTAACATAAGATATATTCGATTCCGAAGTTATACTGTTAAAACGTAATATTAAAAAATACTTAAATTTTTATATTCAAGAACTACTTGTGTGTAGTTTAGTATTTTTTCCCTGTGCCAGAGCCTCCTAATAGTCGAACCGGAAATGCCCAGACCATTCGCTGGCCAAGTGGAGACCCCAGAGCCCAGCTCGCAGCTCACAGCTCCCATCTCCTCTGGGCCAACTCGGCATGGAATCCATGGACAGATGCCAGGCAGATGCCGAAGAGCAGATGGAACGCCATTTTCTGTGCGCCATGGCGCGTCCGCATCCAACGGCGTCTCCGTCTGCTTTTAATTTCTTTTAATGGAAGTTGTTAACATGGCTGCTGCTGCCTCGCCCGGATCGCCTCCACCTCCGACCGCCTCGATCCCTTCCTGCTGGTCTGCGGCTGATTTTCGGCTTGGATCCCACCATTCCCACCAACGCCATGGGTTGCGGCTGATTTGCTCTTTTTGTTTCTCTTACTTTTCGTTGGTGTTTCGATCATAAAACTTCGATATGAAACTTGAATTTTTGTTTCTTTTTTAATGCGCTGCCACAGGTTGGGGGCATACGGCTTATGTAATGCGATTTGGGGTGGGTGAAGGGGGCAGTCGCTTAAGGATGATGAGAAAAAGAGAAGACACTTATTTTTAATTTAAAATATAAATGAACAGCTTGCCATAAAGGCTGCTAAAAAGAGGAAGGTCATTTTTGGAAAGTCAGTTTTAAAGCCAAAGTTCCACTTTAAATATTTAGCACAAAAATATCAAAGAAAACAGGTGCATTAAGTACTAAAAGTAAAGAAATTGAAGGGGAAAAACATTTTAAGCTAAACTGCAAAAAGGGTAATATAAACGGATATTGCAAGAAATTTGGAAGACTTCTAAGATATGTAATTAATCTTAAAAATCCTTTTTTAAATACTGTATGTCTAACATTTGTTCTCCAAACTCGTATTTTGTATATATAATTTTAAAACATTAAATCTAAATTTAAAGAGTATTTAATGATCGATATTAGTTCAGACTCCACAACTATGCCGCTTTGGCTTGGAGTTCATTGAATTTCAGAAGTGCTTTATGGTCACTGAGCTAGCTGTGGCTGGCAAGTTTGTTGCCAAAGTCTTTTGTTTTGGCTGCACAAGTCGCGCCGCTCTGGCATTAGACAGAATCATGAGCGGCCACATAATTAACAAATAATAATGGCCATAACGCGTGCTTTGGCCCCGTCGCACCGGTTTCATCGCTCGGTTATCTCCTGTGAAGGTCGCGGTAATTTAATAACTGATACTAACTAATATTTACGAGAATATTTATATTGTTTATGGCCACTTTTGGCTGGCACATACCTAAAGGGGTACGGAAACCAAACCGAAAAACCAATCCAAACCGATCTCAGCCGACGTTCTCATATCAAGCCAATGCTGATTTCGATTTGATTCTGAGAATCAGGCACTCAATCATGCTGCGAGTGGTGGGACTCTTGTTGTGACTGTTGGCCTCATAGCGTGCGACAAATGCCACTAACGGTTTGAGGTCTCTAATGGATGTTGACATTTACGGCTACCAGGGATTGGGTTTGGGACTGGGATTGGAACTCCGACTTGGATGCGCTCGGGCTGTTTAATTCACATAAATCTAAGTGAAATGCCATTGGGGAATTGCTGCCGAGTTAGAAATTAGGCAAATGGATGGATGTGCCTCCGGTATTCCGGGGAATTTGCCACCACAAAGGCAGGAACAGCCACTGAATGGGCCCAGGAGCAAAAGGGGCAGGGGGCTTGTAACATAAACATTCACAGCCAGAGGCCCAGTAACTGGGCATAAAAAGGGTCTCAGTAACACTCGGAAGGTCAACCTCTGTGTGTGTGTGCTGTGTTCCCTACAAACATTTGTCAACCGGGCTCCTTTTGATCCTGGCCGGCACGAGAGTCAAAAAGTCGTAAGCGGCATAGTTATCATTGTGCAGTGGGTCCATTGTGCTATCAGCTGGCAGCGATCGATGCGGTTTAAACGGCAGTCGGGGCAGTCGAGATCACGGTGAGTAAGCAGTGTCCGCTGGCCCAGAGGAGGGCTGCAACAGGAAAGGCATCTCGGCCACATGCGGTGCGTATTTGGCCAACAGTTTTTGCACGAGACAAACCACAAAAATGCAGCTAAAAATGCCTGCCAAATCAGTACACAAATCAAATGTCGGTAGATATGGAAACATATGTCACTTATTCGCTGGAAAAAATTGAACTA